CTTTTAAAACAAGTTGCTTTAAAGTTCCATGTTTGCTATTAGTCTTATATTTTGCTTTAGGACATTAAGGAAGATTTTGTTAGATTCCTATTTCCTTTCATGTTTAATTCAACAATTGTATTAAGGCCTAGTTAAACATGGATGTGGTTAATATTTTAAATCTATGTAATCCATCTCTTAATTAAAGCACTTGTGATATTGCAGACATTGTAATCCCATGCAAGGGCTATAAATAAAATTATAATGAACTTTGTAACTGCAGGACTAAACTCCAGGAAATATGAGGGAAGGGCACGAAGCTCTTGCATTTTTATGTGGGTAATGAACACCTGCTCTAAAAATGTATATTGATACTGAACTTCTTGTTCTCAAGTGTAAATGGTAGGTAGTGTAGCATAGTGATTAAGGGCACTAAAATGTAAATGGTAGGTTTTATAGCAGAGTGATTAAGGGCACGAACTGGAGCTAGACCACCTGAGGTTGACAGATTAGCCATATGACATAGAGAAAACGATTTAACCTCTTTGTGTCTTAGTTACCTATCTGTAACACAAGGAATAATAATAGTACCTACCTGTAACCTCTGTGGTGTAGTAAGCATACAGTGATTCTTGATATTAGTCTTTTTAATATATGGTATAATACTTTAGAATGTATGTTGTTTATTTTAATTTTTAGGTCTCTTGCAGCTGAGTGGGGTAAATATGGAATGCGATTCAACGTGATTCAACCAGGGCCTATAAAAACCAAAGTAAGTTGTAGTTTTGCTTATTATTACATTGTAAATGATTAAAGAATGAAAGAGATAGGAGTATTCTGATGGTTGTGTGGACTTTCTGGGGAAGTCTGGGTTGTAAAGAAGAGGCTTTTACTATTATCCAGTCTAAGAAATAAGGAGGTGAGCAGGAATATAACAGCTATGCAACTTCTTGATTAGGTTTATTTCAATGTCTTAATTTTCTGGGATCTTTTATGCCATCAATTTTGGCATTTTGTCTGATTTGCTTCAGTTATCTCTATTTTCCTATATTTCTTAATTTTCACCATATTTTAAAGACTTACTTTGACTGACATCCGTTTTGTCAATCATGGAAATGTAACTATATTTTTAGTTTAAGAAATGCTCTAGGAATTTATTATACAGGCTTGGTCTTGCTGTAGGTAGCATTGTCTTTGACTCATGCCTGTGCCTTTTCACTTTCAAACAGTCAATTATGCATGTCATCTAACTCCCACGTCTCTCTGATTAAAAATCCTTTGATGGCATGCCTTTCACCTATAAGTAATAATCCTTACAGACACTGAGTACAATTCATAATTATCAATAATGCCGTCACAGACGTTGCTCAGAGTGTCCACACATTCGGTGTTCTCTCACACTGCCCCAAACAAACAACTTCATTCTCACACTTCTTTTTGTTTTCATGTAAAGCAAGAATTTATAAACCCAACTGGAATGTAGCTTTGAAAGCCCAGCCAAAGTTTTATAACTTGTCTCAGTTGCATAAATACATTGGAAAATATACTAAGAAATATTAGGTTAATGGGAAAACAACTCAAAAGCATACAACACATGCTTCAGGGTGGCCCTGTGCTAAGTACTATCTGAAAAGAACTGTACAGTCACAGAAACTTCTTTCTAGGACCTCAATATCTAGGAAGGATCATCTGCATTTTATTTATTTGTTTAACGTATATTTTTTGAATGTCCAGTGTGTGTAAAGATACCGAGAAAGATACTGAAACATTTGTGAGAAAGTGCTTGCCATTAAGAAGTTTATAGTCTAGTTGTTGAGATATGAGTTGTCCCCAAACAATAAGTATTTAGTTTTAAAGAGATTAAAAGAAAACTGAAGTATAGACACTCCCTAGCCTGCACTTAGAGAACCAAGATTGGGACCAGGTGCTACCCTTTGTCTCTGTTGCTTTATACCTGCCCAGGGAGAACTGGAGGCTCACAAGGAGCCTTCTGAGTGTTTGCTCTGTCTCATACTTGTGTTATTGAGAAAAACTTTGGTACAGAAAAATCCAGTCATTGTTAATCAGTGTACATCTATACTTCATCTTGGTCTATTCCTTCACATCACTGACACAAAGCAGAAATTGTTTGGCCAATTTAGTTATGGATTTTTTTTTTCTCTCTAAGATCTACTTGAATTTAATATTCCCACATACTTGTTTTCTTCCTTTCCTATTATTTTCAGAAGGGAGTAGAAAAGGAATTTCCTCTTAAATATTTCCACTTGAGTCACTGATCTGTGTTTAGTAAATGAAATGACAATAGTACCATACACTGCCTCCCTCACACTAAGCTTGTACATACTTCAGAGTACTTTTATATACATTTTCTCATTTGATGCTTACAACAATTTTGTGAGGTAGCTAAGATAGATATCCTCATTTTTCAGAGAAGAAATTAAGGTAAAAAGGTTATGTTTTCCATTGATCCTTTTTTTGGGTCAAAATTAGGTAAAATGACTTGTTTGGGGGCTAAAGTGAATGTGGAAGAATTTGTTGAAATTCTTTATTCCTTACAAGGCGTAAGGTCTGAAAAGGCTGCCATGGTAGCATTCCATTTTACACAAATTTTTTTCTTATGTGGGAAAGGGGTTGCATTAAAAACAAACAAACAAAAACCACAACCTAAATTGTCTTCTGAATTTCTAAGGGTGCCTTTAGCCGTCTTGACCCAACTGGAGAATTTGAGAAAGAAATGATTGACAGAATTCCCTGTGGTCGGCTGGGGACTGTGGAAGAACTTGCAAATCTTGCTGCTTTCCTTTGCAGTGATTATGCTTCTTGGATTAATGGAGCAGTAAGCATTGTTTATTTCTCTTGACT